ATGAGGGGGTGGAAAGGCAGGCGCAACCCAGCAACGAGCTGCTCCCGGAATATCACGATCTCATTAGGACCGTGTTCCCAAGGGAAACTGTCCGAGGGTATGAAATAGGTGTACTCCATAGGCAAGTTAAACTGGGTAATAAGGGAGTGAATCCCCTCAGCCGTCATGGTCGAGGGCCCAAACTTATCTAATGTCCGACATCGACGGAAGGAGGACGCCAAACTACCCGAGGCGACTCGGCCTATGGGTTCAAACTCTTCCTCGAGCTCTACCTCGGGTTCACTAGGACTGTCGGGGGATGCAACTCGGTTCGTAGAACCTGCATCTGACCCCCCCAAAGAACTGTCTGAGCTATCCGAGTTAGACATCGGGAGGAGAAGAAGGATTCCAGGAAAGTACTCACCCGGAAAAAGCAAGCAGACTACGAGAACTTGAACGCGAGCTAAAGACTTGGACGCGAGCTCAAGAAGCAAAACGCAGAAGAATGACAAAGCGGCTGAGGTCCCCCACTATTTATACCCACAGTAACAAAAAATCAACGGTTCTAATCAAAGCAAATCCAACAGCCCGCAGTCGCGCTGACCACACGTCTCCTGAGACCTATACGTGACTGGCCGCATGTCTTTTGAAACTGACAGAGCGCCAACGCACGTCTCCCCGCATTAAAGGCGGCAGCGACGCGTTTTTTCAAATTTGAAAAGACGCCCGCTATCACGTCTCCCAACGGCGCGTTTTTTAAATTTTGAAATAAGCGCGCGCTGTCACATTTGTCAGCATTTATAGACGGATTGGCGCGTTTCCCGACTTTTTGGCGCTCGAGAAGCCCGAAAAAATCCTGACGAACGCTCACTTCGCGCTATCAGTCGAAACCAGTTCGAAGCACGGGACAAATCCACCCGACACCTCGCGAACTCCCCACGCCAGGGCAAGTCCCTTTGCGCGAGGAGTGGGGGGCAATTGATGAAGGAAGATTTGGCCCGACCTCGTAATCACTCAACAGTGGCAAAGGCAACAGCTCGGCACAACAGCACGCCCAAGGCGCGAGCTCCGAAAGGAGGAACCAGCGGTCCGAACTCCCTACAAGGAGCTCAAACTCCCCGAAAGGAGCCCGAGCTCTCCCTTGGACCCCGAGCCTTACAAACACAAAGGGCAACAACCCGAACTGACCTGCCCCATGGCAGTTCGGGCCACACCTCTATCCGAACTCAAGACTTCACCTCGCACACCACTCCAGCACTTTGCCTCCAGACGCCGAACTGAACAAACGCTCCGTACCTGACACCGAAGGAGTCCGTATCCAGGGGCGGCGCACCTGACTGACTTGGGATCTGACGCTTGACAGCCGCACTTCAACGGCCACCTGCCAACCGCCATCTCCAATTACAGAGACGGCTCCGACAAAGAGAGCAGTGGCGGTTCTGCCCCAGTAGAGGTGATGACACCCGAACTGGCAGAAGTGCAGAGGTAATCATACCCGACCTGACAGAAACTTAGGAGTGAGTGCGCGAAGTGGTTATAAAAGGCTCTCTACCCCCCAAGAACAAGGTATGTGAAATTTACGCCATCTGGTTTTATCTTGCCTTTGAGGAAATACTAACTTGAGCTTCAGAGCATTCTCACCGGGTTTTTCCCCGGAGATTACTCGCTTTCTCCCCCGTTTCAGGCACCTTGTGCTCCAGTCCGAGACAAGATCGTTGACAATTAAGACCGGCCAGATTATGCACCATCACCTAGAATTCAAGTTTCCTAAATCTCAGCTCGATCGAAGGTGGGGTAAGGACGTAGGATGGAGCCCCACGAAGACGGGTCAAATTTCTATCTCTAGTTAATCTAGACTTGGGCTGGGTTTGCCCAAGTTGCACCCATAGATATAGGTCCTTTTTTAGTTTAAACACATACTGCATATGGGTCCATTAGTTTGATGCTATTTAATTAGGTAACTTATTTATGTGGTTAAATAATCCTAACTTAATTGGGTAGAATCATTATTAATTGTTATTACGAATAAAACTATAAAAGTTATAACTTTAATTCATTTAAGCCATATTTAAAAATTATAAAAATTATGAAAAATTAATTCGAATTTGCTAACAATATTTTTTATTAATTGAAAATTCCATTAAATTATTAATATTATAAATAAAATTATTTTATAATACAATTAGTTTTATGAAAAAATTAATAAAAATAGTAACCTTTTAGAATAAATTTTTCCATGAGAAAATTATTAATTTTAAAATTAGTTTTTATTAATTTAAATTCGGCTAAAAATAATTACATTAATAAAACTTATAGTAGGCCTACAGCCTAACCTGATCCATGATTGCAACCTAATTAAGAATGTCATAGGGCTCTTTTTACTTTATTTACTCTCCAAAAAGTCCACACATAATAAAAAGAGCATTGAAGAATAAGGATTTCAACCCAATAACCCATAAACCAATTTCCAACTTAAATTAATAGCTCTTGAGTTTTCAAAATATGTCACAAAAAATACAATTGAAAGACTACGTCACAAGGTAGGTTGGTATTAGGTTGAACCTTCCAAGGTTAAGGCAGGTTGACATGGGTTTGACTCAAACTTAACCTGACCCTCCCATGCTTCAACTCAAACCCAACCCAACCCGATTCAATACTATGTAGTTTCTAAACCTACCCTGGCCTATATGGTTCAACTTGATACCAACCTAACATATCTCGTAATCTTTTAATTGTATTTTTTTTTGTGATACTTTTTGAAAACTCAAGAACCATTTATTTAAAATGGAAATTGGTTCGTGGATTTCAAGGTATTGCTTCTCAAACTAATATATATTATATAAATAGGGTAAATTATTGAAACATCCCCTGAAGTTTTAGGTTATTGGTAAATCACGTTTCTTGAACTTTCTAACATAATTGCAAGTAGACCCTTTTGATATAAATTTCTAAAAAGAAGCATGAAAATAACCAAAATATTTATACAATTACTTTGACAAAAATATTTATTTTTCAAATTTTTTACATATAAATGACTAGCTCAAATCCTTCTAATATCATTGATTTATTTTCTAAATTTACCCATATCATTCAAAATTAAAGTTTCTTTTGTTATTTTAGAACCACAACCACCCACAATAGTAATCATATGAGTATTTTAGACATTTTTATGCCTTTTTACACTCAGAAAATTGCGAGATAGACGGGATAAAAATTAGGGATTTTTATAGTTCAGTCCACCTTTAAAAATCTAGAATTCCATCCACTTTAGGGGTGAATTAAATCTAACCGTGGATTGATGATAAATCCACGGACTGGATAGAAATTAGGCTGCAATTAAGATTTGTGAGGGGCATTGCAGTCCAAAATTCCGTAAAAACTATCACAGATGGCAGGAGGGGTGAGGTCTTGCAGGTTGCCTGACACATATAGACACTTGCCGGCAAAGCATTAATTATTTTGGGTAATTGGGTAAAGGTAGTTGTCTGCCGCACTGGTTAAAAACTGAGAGAGGATGAGATTTGAGATCTGAGTGCTTACGCATTTATTATCCGAGTAATTTCAGTTTAAGCTCAACTCGTTAGACTTCAGATGCATACATTAATACATACATCGAGGAGGTAGGTAAGCTAGGAAGCTAAAGTGACGTGCCACGTCTCGGAATTCAGCAGCCTAGAAACTGTCTCCCATACTCCCATCAATGGAGGTCGTTGAGTTGGTGAGCCACTAAACCCCACCGCCCCAGACTTTTGCCCAGTCTGATTGTTTTTGAATATAATTGATAATTTGATACAGATGGAAAGGTGAATTTATGGGCCATACCCATAATTACATACATATTCTCTCTCTTTATATATCATTTACAGCTTTCATCAATGACTCTGTGTGGATCTGGGTTCCACTCCCAAACTACTGCTCCAGTCTCTATATTCTTTCCTTCCCAAGTATTACCTCACCTGTAATCTTTTTAGGTTCTCTCTATCTGCAATGCGAAATGCCACCCCACCAATAAGCATCTATCTCAGGCGACTTTTCTTCTTTCCAGGATTAACGGTGTGAAAAGAAAAAGAGAAGGAGAGAAAGAAACTGATAAAATATACCAAATTACCGATACTTTTGGTAACACTGCTGTGTTCATACACGCCAGTGGTATCTGAAGTCCGAAAAATGCTCCACAAAATAAGTAGATTAGTATGTTCGAGTTTTTTCATATCAATCAAATCAATACAATTACTTTTTACTTGTACCCAAAAGTAATTCCCAGTAATATAGACTATAGACAGAGTAATTCTCATTTCTCGGTATAAAATAAAGAAAGAGTCAAAGAGTGCCCAACTCAACTGCCCGCCCGGCCACCCCAACCAACCAATCAAAATTCAGAACCAGTCGGTGCGGGTGCGGGTGCCCTCAATTCTGGTGGGTCCCAAAGTTTCTTCACATGGCTGTACCTGTACGGTACCGATTCTACTTAATTAAATTTAAGTTTAAAGAAACATGTCGAATCATTCCCCAACCCCACATGCCATCCATTAGGACTGGAGACTGGAATAATACTAGTGTACCACTACAACTACTACTCCTTCCATCTATAAACAGTAAATAGTTTTTATGATACCCAATGCGTCAATCATGTCGTGGTCCCTCTCTAATCGAACGGCTGAGAGAGCTTATGCTGTGTGGTAGCCTTCGTACGTAGTACTTAGATATAGGACACCGTGTCAAATTCATGAACAACCACCACCTTTATTATTTCTGCACTACATGACAGACAACACTCTCTCTCTCTCCTCCAGATTTCAATATTACCACCCCTGAACCTCAAATATCAGTTCTTGTTATTGTTCTTCGTTTTCTTCTTTCAGGCCTTCATCTCTCTACATGATGATGGCTGGAAAATGTCCACTGAAATGGCTGTTACTGTCTCTTCTATGCCATCTAACCGTCACCCTTGCTGTCACTACGACTGTCCCGTCACCAAAGAAGACGTATATTGTTCATATGGACAAGTCGGAGATGCCTGCAGATTCCTTCGCCGACCACCTCGACTGGTATGCATCTACTCTTAAGTCAGTCGTGGCCAACCCTGACTCGGCGGAGGATGATAATACAGCAGGAGAAGCTGCGCAGCGGATGATGTACAGTTACGAAACAGCTTTTCATGGCTTTGCTGCCAGGCTCAGTGAAGAAGAAGCTGAGAGAATGGAAGAGGGACTTGGTGTACTGGGCGTATTCCCGGAAACTGTCTACCACCTACACACCACGAGGAGTCCAATGTTCCTGGGGCTCGAAACGGAAGACAGTACTAGCGTCTGGTCTGATGCTTTGACCGATCATGATGTGATAGTGGGAGTGCTGGATACTGGAATATGGCCGGAGAGTCCAAGCTTCAATGATACGGGCATGAGTCCAGTCCCTCCACGTTGGAAGGGTGCTTGTGAGACGGGCCGAGGCTTTACGAAACATAACTGCAATAGGAAGATCGTCGGTGCCCGGATCTTCTACCGTGGCTATGAAGCGGCTTCCGGGAAGATCAACGAGCAAGATGAGTATAAATCGCCGAGAGATGAAGATGGACACGGTACCCACACGGCAGCCACTGTTGCAGGCTCCCCTGTGGAAGGTGCAAACCTTCTGGGCTACGCTCGAGGGACAGCCCGAGGAATGGCACCCAAGGCAAGAGTGGCAGCTTACAAGGTTTGTTGGGCTGGTGGGTGTTTCAGCTCGGATATTCTTTCGGCAGTCGACCGTGCTGTGGCCGATGGTGTTAACGTCTTGTCGATCTCCCTAGGAGGCAGTGTGTCTTCCTATTATCGTGATAGTTTGTCAATAGCCACTTTTGGGGCCATGGAGATGGGTGTTTTTGTTTCCTGCTCTGCAGGAAATGGAGGACCTGATCCCATCAGCCTTACCAATGTATCTCCGTGGGTCACCACGGTTGGAGCCAGCACCATGGACAGGGATTTCCCGTCCATGGTAAAACTGGGGAATGGCCAGATGTTGTCTGGGGTCTCACTCTACAAAGGCCGGAGAATTCTGTCAACAAAGCAGCAGTACCCACTGGTTTACATGGGGAGCAATTCGAGCACCCCCGATCCAAGCTCCTTATGTCTTGAGGGAACTCTAGATCCACATTCTGTGGTGGGGAAGATTGTGATATGCGATCGTGGTGTCAGCCCAAGAGTAGATAAGGGTCGGGTGGTGAAAGAAGCAGGAGGAATGGGCATGATCCTGGCCAACACTGCGGCCAACGGGGAAGAGCTTGTTGCCGACAGTCACCTTCTTCCGGCAGTTGCACTAGGGGCAAAGGCCGGAAAAGCTGTCAAGCAATACACGCTAACAAATTCTCACCCAACTGCAACTCTAGCCATTCTTGGGACCAAGTTGGGTATCCGGCCTTCGCCGGTGGTGGCAGCATTCTCATCCAGAGGTCCCAACTTCCTCACCCCCGAAATTCTGAAGCCTGACTTGGTAGCACCCGGTGTGAACATCCTTGCAGCATGGACTGGTAAAGCAGGGCCATCGGGTTTGCCGTCTGACCACAGGAGAGTGAGGTTTAACATCTTGTCCGGGACCTCTATGTCATGCCCGCATGTTAGTGGGGTTGCTGCCTTGCTCAAGGCTAGACATCCAGAATGGAGTCCGGCTGCAATCAAATCAGCTCTGATGACCACAGCTTACGTTCACGATAATGCATACCACCCACTCAGAGATGCCTCAACTGGTGCACCTTCAAATCCCTTCACCCATGGGGCTGGTCATATAAACCCATTGAAAGCTCTTGACCCTGGCCTAGTTTATGACATGGGTGTGCAGGATTATTTTGAATTCCTCTGCACACAGAAGTTAACCCCACTGCAACTCAAAGTCTTCACCAAATCTTCGAATAGATCCTGCCGACACATTCTAGCAAACCCGGGCGATCTCAATAACCCAGCAATCTCTGCCGTCTTCCCAGAGCAGTCATCCGTATCTGTCTTGACTCTTCACAGGACTGTCACCAACGTTGGGCCCCCTATCTCAACATACCATGCCAAGGTCTCACAGTTCAAAGGTGCTTCCGTGGAAGTGGAGCCAAGAACTCTCCACTTCACAAGCAAAAACCAGAAACTGTCATACAAGATCACCTTCACCACAAAAACTCGCCAACCAATTCCAGAATTTGGAGGTTTAATGTGGAGTGATGAAAAACGCAAAGTAAGAAGTCCAATAGTAATCACATGGATGGCACCAATGTAAGTTATTGACAGGAATTTTGATGTGAATCTAGAAGTAAACACCGTAACACAATAAATAGATGTAGCTTAAAGAGTCCTGAGGCTCGTCCATTTTTATTTCATAGAATAGTGTTTCTTGTAGTGTCCTCCGGTAAAGGATTACAAATCATGAAATCAAGATGGAAGGACAAACCAGAGACCCACCTAAAAACACAAATTTAAGGTAAGAAATACAAGTCTCATTTAAATAATTATCAGATTTTGCTCACACTAAAATCATTGTTACTCGATTCCCATATGGTGGTGCCATCGCATGTGCAAAGCTTTTTATAGTTTTCACCAACTCCTGCACTTCTAGCTATCACTGCAGCTGCAATGCCTGGATCCGATTTTTGTTCTGTTCCATATACCACAATAGATCGGCCAATGAGATCAGCAACTTTCAGCATCTTCTTGACACCAGAGAAGAAGACCTCGCCAGTCTCGTTAGCATCTAATGTTCCCAGGTCGCCAATTGGCTAAACAGAAAACAAAGATCTCATTCGGTGAACTCTAAAATTACAACTTTACCAATTTGTGGATGAAAACAAAACAAGAAATGGTGCCAGAATTTACACAATATATTACGTAGGTAGGACCGTAGGATTGATTAAATGGTAGAATGAGGGGGGGGGGGTCGGCAAAGGGATGAGACGACAGCAAAGTAGTTAATGGGTTCATGGTTGCTGGATTTTACTTGTTAAGGTGGAGGTGGGAGGCAGTCTCTGTAGTTCTGTTTGGATTTTGCTTTTTGTGGTTGTACTTGGGTTGTAGTTACTCTCTTCCGCTTTGCAGTTTAGGAAGGGCTTGGTAAGTTGGTATGGATTTTTCTTCTGGTGGGGCCATATATTTCGAGATTCCACAATTCTCCTGAACACCCTAATTACAATCAATGTCTTGACAATGTTGTCTGAGCATCAATCAACAATATGATCTTAATCTTGTTACAACATATACGCTAATTAGGGCATAATAGATTGGTAGGTCATTTTCAAAAACCAATTTGCAGAAATAAGTCAAGAAAATTTAATACAAGCAAGAAAAAATAACAAAAGTATGATTCATCGTAATGCTAGTGAACAATCAAAACACTGGTCATCAATCAAGAAGTCAGAACAATGGTGGGATGCCTGGTTCATATTTATTTTCTTAGTTAGGCTTTCCAATAATTATTTTCTTAGTCAGAACAATAATTGCTTCTGCCATTATCTGATCTGGTCTTCCATACGCCAAAAAGTGATCCGAGGGAAGCCACTGTGTGAAAAAATGCCAAGGTTAGGACCGTACCTACTCTACCCCTCCCAAGACCCCAGAAACCGGGGACCAACGTTGAGTATGGCCTTTCCTAATAATGACATCTCATTGGAAAGAAGAAAAGAAACACTGGAACCTGATCTAACCTCAACAACCATATATAGCAGGATTAAAAAGGAGGTAAATTGTTTTTGTTGGTGCGTGCTGGGGGGCAGAGTGGCCATGCCAGCAGAGATGTTCATGAAAATACCATTAATTTTTCTTCAGAATCTCAGATCATCAGAAATCCCATGGGCAGACTTTGGTCTACATATGAACAAGCTCAACCAAGAAGCCAGAGCATGGCCTCTCTAATAAAATTACCATCTCCAACTGATGTAGACAAAAACAAAATCATCCCCCATGGCATACTTCCATCCATAAAATGGAACCAAATACTAGAGCCCCAGATTCCCAAGGAAGCACATATGCACATATATAAATTAAGATTTGTACAAAATGGCCCACGAGGATCCTAAATTTCTCACCTTGATTATTGTAAAGTGAATGCTTTGTGATATTGCCTTATTAAGGGCAATTCCGTCTTTTCCCAATGCGAGTAAGACTTCTTCTCCCAACGTTTGATCCCCAAGGAATAGTTAGGGTTGTGCGTGTATATCCTTTTCTTTTGGGGGAGTGGGGTCAGTGGGCTGGCTCAGAAGGGTTTGCAATTACATCCAACGATAACCATCCAAGAAAACAGAGGCATATAGGGGCATTATATAAGGAGGGGTATCCCATCCCCCTACCTTAAACTGAGTTAGTTGACACTGTCACTCCAAGCATAGTTATAAAGGCTCTAAAGCAAGACCAAGTGATTGACTGTGTAGCCATCAAAGTTATACACTGATTGAAAGTTAGTGACTTATTCAAGAACTTTTCAGTGGATGATATACTAAGGGGGCGGTCAGCAGTGGCAAGTTCCTCAACCAGACAGCTTATATTTCAGCCTTATTGGACACCTGCAGCACAACAAAGGGTAAAATTAAACTTTGATGGAAGCTCTTTGGGTAATCCAGGACCCTCTGGAGCTGGGGGAGTTTTCAGGGATGGGGAGGGTAGAATGGTGGTACTATATTCTGGTCCCACAGGAGTGGGAGACTCTCTGAGAGCTGAAATTTTAGCTCTCCTACAAGGCCTGAGATTTGCCAAGCAATGGGGATTTCAGAACTTTGAAGCGGAAGGGGATTCTAAACTTTTAATAGGGTGGCGGCAGACAAAAAGGTTGGGTGTATGGACCTTTAGACAACAAATAAGGGAAATGATCTGCTTGGCAAGGGATGCTAGGGTAATTTTCAAATGAGTAAGGAGGTCAGCCAACTCTGTGAGTCTGTGGCAAATAGTTTGGCAAAGCAGGGGACATTCAGGGAAAATTTCTTTTGGGCTGTATTGTAATTCTTGAAGCTGATTGGGGTCAACACTCATATTTTGAGTGGTTGACAATGTATGGTGTTTAATTGATATCTTTAATGAAAGATAACGTTTCCAATAAAAAAAAAAAAAACCAAGTGAGAGAGTATCGCCTTGTCACCTTATCCAAGTGCTTACACAGGCACCATATTAATTAAGTGGGATACTCATTCCTGTATTCACATCTTAAATCTCAAAAAGTGGAGTTGCATCTCTATTTCACATGTAGAAAGTAAAGGAATGGCAATGTTCCCCATAAAACTGGGGCCCCAATCCACCCTGCCCTGAATGGAACGAATTTCTTTGTTCACGCCTTGGATCTCAAAAAGTGGAGTCACATCCCTATTTCACATTAAAATGTAGGGATGGAAAATTTCCCCATAAAACCAGGGCCCCAATCCACCCCACCCCAAATGGGGCAGGTTTTCCCTGATCTTAAATGGGGACAAGGAAAATCTTTTTGCCCTCAATTGGGGATGGGGCAAGGACAAGGTCAGCATATAATTCCCCGAACCTGGTGGTAGGGGTGTTCACAGTCCAGTTTGGTTCATTTTGGAGAATATCTAAGACTAAACCAGTAAATTACGACTTAAGAAATTCTCAAACCAAACCAAACCGTTCTATAGGGCTTAACCCAATTAGAAAGCCCAGATAGCATGCATAACTACATAAATAACAAATACAATTCAAATATCAATTTTAGATGTTAATAAGTGCCACCTATTACTATTATATAAAATACATTCTCACTTTCTCAAATGTAAACAACTCCTAGACATCAAATTACAAGTTAAAAATTGAAACAAACAACAATAATGTATGAAATGTTAAATGAATATATACATATATACATATGTTTAATCATGTGTATTATATATTATATGCATTAAACCATGTTAAGTGTATTAAAGATGAAGATCAAAGAGTCCTGGTAAAAGATGAGGGAATCAAACAAAGATGGAAAGACTATTTTAAAAAAATATTAAATGAACAATAAGGAGAGGGTGCTAATGGTGGAGAATCTATACTAGTATAGTTTTTTTTTATGTATACCTTCGTAGAGTTAGACATACTGAAGTAAAAGAGGCACTAAATAAGATGAAGGGAAAGGTGATAGGACTTTATAGGATTTCAATAGAAGTATGGAAAGATATGGAAGAGGTAGGCTTATTATGGCTAACCAAGCTATTTAATAAGATAGTGAAAGAAAAGAAGATACCTAATGATTAGAGAAACATAGCATGGTGCCTATATTTATGATAATAAAGAATAAAGGTGATAATACAAAGTAGTAATAACTATCGAGAGATTAAACTTATGAACCACACTATGAAACTTTGGGAGAATAATTAAACAAAAATTATGAGTTAAAACAAGTGTATCAAAGAACCATTTTGGCTTTATGCCAGGGAGATCAACCGTGGAAGCTATACTTCTTTTGACACAATTGATAAAAAAGTTTAAAGAGAAGAAAGATCTTCATATGGTGTTCATTGATCTAGAAGGCATATGATAGAGTCCCTAGAGAGATAATATGGTTGATCTTAGAAATGAAAGGGGTTCAAAATAGGTATATAAACCCAATTAAGGATATGTATGAGGGGGTAACAACCAATGTTAGAACACGGGTGGGAGAAACTTCAAATTTTAAGGCATATGATAGAGTCCCTAGAGAGATAATATGGTTGATCTTAGAAATGAAAGGGGTTCAAAATAGGTATATAAACCCAATTAAGGATATGTATGAGGGGGTAACAACCAATGTTAGAACACGGGTGGGAGAAACTTCAAATTTTACATTTACTATGGGTCTTCACCAAGGTTCAACATTTAGCCCTTATCTATTTGAACTAATCCTAGATGAATTTAATAAACATATTCAAGAGAAAGTTTCATGGTACACGTTGTTTGCAGATGACATTGTTTTAATTCATGAAACTAATATTAAATACAAAATTAAACTTATGGGCAAATGCCTTGGAAACAAGAGATTTTAAAATAAGTAGGACTAAAACAGCGTATATGACATGTAAACTTAGTAATAATAGGAGTGTCAAGCAAGATACACTTGGGATTGGAGACCAAGGGATAACTCAATTTGACCAGTTCCAGTACCTTGGTTCAATAATACATAACAAGGAGGAGATTGAAGAGGTGTCACCCAAAGAATTGGAGCAAGATGGGTAAATTGGAGGGGTGCATGTATGTTATAGGCAAATACCACTTAGATTAAAAGGAAAATTTTATAAAACAATTGCAAGGCCAGCCATGTTGTATGCAATGTTTTAAAATGTGGAGGCGTAATGCGAGGCATTTGCGTTCCACTACCTAGAGGCCTAAGGCGTAGTTTAGAATGTAAGAGGTATAAACCTATTAAATATGAGGTGTGCATGAGCCACATGAGGCGTATGCCTCTAGCATGCCTCATGAAAAAAAGCATATGAGGTGTACGCCTCAGAGGTGTCAACACCTCTGGGGGTTTTGAAGGCAGGCCTCCAAGCGGACACCTCCCACACCTTTTAAAACACTAGTTGTATGGAGTAGAGTGTTGGGCAACTAAGAAACATGTTCAGAAAATGAATATGGCAGAAATGCAAATGCCTAGATGGATGAGTGAAAAATCTAAAAAGGATAGGATTAGAAATGAAGTTATCCATAGGAACCTAAGATTAGCTCCAATAGGTGATAAAATGAGAGAGTAAAGTAAGATGGTTTGGATATGTGCATAGAAAACCACCAATTGCACCAGTTAGATGAAGTGATTTCTTACACATTGAAGGGGCTAGAAGAGCTCAAGGTAGACCAAAAAGGACATGGGTAGTAGTAGGAAATGATTTAAGCACTAATAATTTAATAATGGATATGGCTTTAAATAGAATGGATTGGCGAAACAGGACTCATGTAGACAACCCCATATACTTGGAATGAGGCATGGATGATGATGATGATTAATTTGGTTTAAAACAGTTAACAGTTTGGTCTAGAATTTAGAAAACTAGACCAAACTAGAACATTATTGTCTGAGAAAATTGAAATTCTTAGACCAAACAAACTATTTTAAGGCCAGACTAGACCAAACCACCAATTTCAGCTTGGTTGGTGCGGTTTGGCAATCTAGACCATATAATGAGCACTCCTCTAGCAAGAGGTAAATTACTAAAATACCCCTAGGTTTAACATTAATTTCTAAAATACCCCTAACATATAAGGTGACATAAGATTACTATAATCCCATTTCCCCCAAATTCCCAAAACCCTAGGATCCCATATACCCCTAAGTTTGATGTATTTTTAGATGGTTGCTTCATTCAGGGAAAAGTCAAGGATTCCCCATCCCTGACAGGATAGGGATGGGGTTGAATCCTTGCCTACCACTAGGGATGGGGTGGGGCAGGGATAGGGAGGGAGTGCCCCACTCCATTACCATTCCTAGTAGAAAGGCCATTACCCAATGTTGGTCCCAAGCTCCCAGCTATTTGGGGTTTTGGCAGTGTTTTAAAAGCGCAAGGCGCAAAAAAGGCGCAAGGGCCACTTTGCACCTGAGGCGCAAGGCACAAGGCGAGGCACGCGCCTTTTTAAGAAAATGCCCTTAGACTTGTTAGTGTGGTAGCCCTTAGACTTGAACCCACATTCTCACACTTGTTAGACTGAGATTTTACAATTAGCCTTAGTAAACTATTTCACATATCTGTGTCCTAATTTATATCCATACCTAGGCATCTTAACCTTGGAAAACTCCCTCTTTTGTCGTCTACTAGAATTACCCCTTGGATCTCCCAAAATGCAGGCTTTTTTTTTTCATTTGTGAAAGTAAACTCACTACATATACATTTGATCACACTCATCTTAGAAGCATTCGTCATTTTATTTCCCAGTACCCTACTTAAAAAAGCAAAGTAAGAAATTCCAACTTTTGGAATTCCTTCCTTGGTCTAATATCTGAATATTTCTACTATAGGATGTCCAGATATATATACATACATAAAAAGGGATAAGAAACAGAGAAAAACTCTCCATTACTTGAGATGTAGGGCACAGATACCAGTAACTCATTTAATATGATAACACTATAATTTCAAATTAAACATGGAATGCTAGAATTCTTGGAGCTAAAAGCAAAAATGAAAAAGCCTTGACCGAAAACATTTCTTGAAGGGCAGCACGTTGGGTAAAGCCCATGCATGCCTTATCTCCTTTTTCTGTTGATGATATCATTTGAAATTGGTTCATGGTAGCTGCATCTTTCTTGACAAGCTCTCCTCCACTCATCCTTGGATTCCCCCAAACTCAAATTCTATAAAGTTAAATTTAGAAGGGTGTAGTTTGGGTAACTGAAGATCCAGAATAGGGGAAGTTTTTAGACAAAAAAATCATGACCTTGCATTCAGGACCTATAGTGCATGGGCTCAACTAGAACATAGCGGCGGTTCTGCATGGATAAAAGCTTGCTCAATCCCTTGGCCACAAAAATTTAGAGGTGGAAGGGGACTTCCAAAGTTGTGATCTATAAGGCATGGGGACTCAGCTAGAATAGATTTTATGGCCACAAAAAAATTTAGAGATGGATGGGTACTCTCAGAGTTGTGATCTGGTTACACAAGAATAGGCTGGGTTCATGGAAATACAAATTATAGGAAGGAAAGAATTATTTCTTTTATTGTACGTTTCTGCATGGTTTATACCTTATTGGGTAGTTAATGGGCTTCCATTTCCAAGGCATCTAGGCACTCTGCCATTACTTAGTCACCCATAACCTTGACAATTATGGAACTATATTTACAACCAGAGAAACACTTTAATGTTATCACACACCTACCAGGAGAAATAATAGCTGGGTCTTGATATAACTGTAAAGCAGAAAGTAAGCATAAGAGAAAACATAAAACAGGAGCAAACCTCTTCAGAAGAGGCTTGATTCGTTGGATTGAATACTTTTCCGGTGCTCGCTGCTCCTCTTGTCAAATCACCAAATTCATTTATAGACCAACCATGTTTTCCAGGTGACAGACCACTAAAGCTAGCTTCAATTCTTGCCAGCTCCATATTCACTTGAGCCAGACGAACAACACCAAAAATATCTGGACCTTTAAATTCAGCTACAGCTGCTGATACTAGAAAATCTGCAGAAAATTGTACTTCAGGTTATAAGTTGAAACTACTCTTGTAGATCTCACAATAAAAATCCGGATATGCTGGGAGACCTAGAGAAAGATAATCGAAGAGCCTTTCTAAAGGAGGAAAGAATGAAGTTCTAAACAGCAACTAGGTGGAGGTGAAGATCAGCATGGGGGCAAAAACATTTGTGTTAGAAGAAAGATACAAGAATGGAAGACAGTACAGAAGATCAGAGAAATGAGAAAAGCCACAGTCTTCATGATTCAAGGGTTTCCTGGATGGTTCCATCTACACAGACTCAAGAACGATATTGAGTAACAAAACTAGGAACTGAAAGAAAAAGTATAAAGTAATCCTAGAAGCGAACAAGAAAGGAAGATTTGTGAGACTCACAAAGTTCTTTGATAAGGATAAGAAACAAGGGACATGTGTCATAAGGGAGAGACTTGGAAGGTTGGGTTTTTTTCTCAGACATACTGCAAGAAGAGGTCCCATGGTGTTTGTTATTTGATTATGACATAGTATTAATTGATGAAACTAGTGAAGGATTAAATGCAAATTAGGTTTATGGACAAATACATTAGAAACAAAAGGTTTGAAAATAAGTGGAACCAAAACAGAATATATGCAATGCAAACTTAATAATAATAGGAGCACAAATCAGGTTGGAGACCAAGAGATAACTCGTTGTGACCTCCTTCTTACCTTTGTTCAATAATCCATAACAAGAGAGAAATCGAGGAGGATGCCACCCATAGAATTAGAGAAGGATGACCAAAATAAACAGGTGCATCCAAAATCTTGTGTTATAGGTGAATACACTTAGGTTAAAATGAAAATCTTGCTGTGGTTTTTCTGCGAGGTGCCAACTTATCACCTCTTGTATTGTATTTCTTTCTTTTTTCAATTGAAATTTCTCTTTTTACTCTTCAAAAAAGATTATAAAACAATTACAAGGCCAATAATATTGTATGGAGCAAAGTGTTGGCCAAGTCGATCTCTGTTCAAAAGCTCCAAGAGAATTTGCTGGTCCTTTTACCGAATAAATAAAAATGTTTCAAAAGTTATAGTCTTATCATAAATCACATAGAAGGTTGAATCAAATCAATTGTCAATCTCATCACAAATAGTAAGATCACATATGTTCTTTTAATCAAGTTTAACTTCAAAATCAATTAACCTACACAACATGGCCCTTTAACCTACATATAATGGAAAATAAACTACATCCACCATTTAAGTAAATAGCAGTTTCATGCAACAAAATTGTTCCACCTTTTTGCGAATTTCCAACGCCTATTGTCCCTAAGAAGCTTTAAATAATGGTTCTCCTCTTATTCCTAACAAAGCCCCTTTTGCCTAAAACACTAAGGTTTCCTAAATAGCAGTTATCAAAGTAAGTTTTAATTTGTCATTTTCAAGTGAACTCCACAGAGCATTCAATTGTCTTCTCAAGTTATAGCCAGCCATAATCCTCCATCCCCTTAAAAGGTCATCATAATAATTCCTTTGAATTTCTCAGACAAGAAACTCCTAATGGGAAATTCTGACTGCTATTAATTCTATCAGGTTTTGGAAAGTTTGTGTGTTATCAACAAAAAATTTTGCATTCTTTCACCACAGAGGCTCCAAAAGATGGATATACTAGAAAGGTGAACAAATAGTAATCTTCACAAATTAGAACATAACCTAATGCAAAAAATAAGAGAACACCAAAGATAGGATGTATAACACAAAGTTTTAAAGACCTAACGCTATATGTTTGGTTTGAAAGAAAAGGGAAAGGTAAGGAAACCTATACCAGGTTTCCCTACCTTTTCGTTCAAACCAAACATAGGTAAACATGTAAGATAGATAGATTCAAGAAAAAATAACCTGCAGAAAAAATAAACCCCAAGGAAATTATGTAAAATAAATTATTTCACAAATTAGAACTTAACCTAATGCAACAATAAGAGGACACCAAAGCATAGTTGTCAAGGTGTCGCCTAGGCGACTAGGCGCCCTTGGCTGGGCACCTCGCCCAAACGCCTTGACTTTTAGCAACTAGGGACCCTTCTAGGCGACTAGGCACCCACCTAGGCGACTAAGCGCCCACTTAGGCGACAAAAATGACAAGGCGGGCGCCTTTTATAATGTCATTTATATTGATGTATCTTATTAATGTATGTGTTAATACATTTTATTATATGCTATATATATCAATTATACTTTGTTTTAATGTTTTACTATTGAAATTTAAAAGATCAAAGGGTTTTGAGGAGAGAAAAAGAAAGAAAGAAAGAAAGAAGGAAAGAAATAAAGAAAAGAAAGAGGAAAGAAAGAATAGAATAATAAAGTTCTTTTTTCTATTCTCTCTCTCTAATTAAATAAAACAGAAACAACCTTGTTTTTTTTTTCTATTTTACTTTCTATCTTGAATATTTATCATGTAAAGTTAATAACCTTCTTTAGCTACTAATTAATATGAATTTGCTCTATTAAATACTTATTATAGTAGTATTATTTTTGAAAATAATGAAATTAATACATGTAAAAGAATTTTATCTTTTAGATGTGATGAATTGCCACATTTTTAGAGAAAATTTAATGTTCTTAATAAAGAGAATTGCTATTTTTTCAATTAACATACATGCCGAATGGTATATAAAACTAGGAAACTAGCCAAAAGTCAGTTTTTTATATTATAAAGCTTTTATCACCTAGGCAATGCCTAGGTGCCCCAATGTCGCCTAGAGTGGCCTAGAGTCGCCTAAACGCCTTGAAAACTATGCACCAAAGATAGGATGTGTAACATGAAATTTTAAAGACCTAAATATCAGACAGATCAATTCAAGAAATAATAACCTGAAGAAAAAACCAAGAAAATGAAATAAAATAAAATAAAAAAGTCAACCTTCCGGTATGCCTTGCCCAATTAACCTAGCTTTTCGACCCGTCTGTTCCAGAGCATCAAGCATAGTCTTCACGGATGAAGAACCAAGAACCCTGACCACTTGATTGCTGAGGTCTACCTCAACTCCTTTAACCCCTGAAAACAAAAACCAATACCAGAAGTTAAGATAGTGGATCCAGCTACAGAAAACGGTCCGACTACAAGTAGCAATTTTTCGTTAAATCCTCCATTTTCTTTGTAGACATACAAATATACAACCGCTTACCATCGACTGTCTCCAACTTCTTCTTGACGGCATTAACACAACCATCACACTTCATATCCACCATGAACTCCGTCTGAAACCAAATTAGTTTATTAGAACCAAACTTCAGAAAGCTTCAATCTCTCCATTACCAATGAATTCAAAGCTGGAGAATTTCTCAGAAACAATGCGCATCGATGTAGGTTATACAAAAAAACTGAGACTGATTCCAAATTCAAAACAGTATTAATGAATAATTAAACTACATAGAAGAAAAAGAAAAAGAAGAAACAAGAGAGAGAGAGAGAGAGCAAACTCACCAGCAGCTCTGGTAAAGCCTTGTCATTCTGCACATCAAATATCATAAGATAAATAAACGAACTGAATTTTGCTAAGATAAAGCAGTTGTTATTGCTGTTGGTGAAATTTCTCTAATTTAAATCAATTTCTCGCAGAGAGGAAAATTGGAGAGGTGAAGTTTTAAGTGTTGCTAACCTGCTCGAGGGCTTTCTGCTCTGTCGCGGGTGAAGAATCCATACGTACGGTGGCGTGTGGAGGACTGAAGTTCCTGAGAAGGACCAGGCGCTCTGGCCGGTGTATTGCTGCTGTGGAGAAGAAGGGAAGGTTTCGGATTTTGGAGAAAAACGGGTAAGAAATGTGAGACGACGACGACGACGATGAAGAGGTAGAACACACGGTAGCGGCCGCGAATGCTGCAGGCACAACTACTGCAGCGGCTGTCAATGACCTGAGGAAAGCCATTGCGAGCTTTTCCTTTTGACTGACAATTAAGGCTACCTACCTTACAAATTATAAAAATGGGTTTTATTTTGTACCAAAATCAGTAAAATATAAATAGATGACCGATAAAGATCAGTAAATATATGTATAAAAAATATAAATAGAATAAGAAACAAAAAATGAAGAAACTAGAAGGTGAAATCGTGAAAGAATACGGTGGCAGTGGGTCAGCGAATTCATGTACCGTACCCGACCCGATTGTACCTGGATATGGTCTTGAGACTCGAGGAGTCAAGAGGGCTATGGCAAACCAAATCCACAGAACCGTAAGCTCTCCATGTAAGCACAGTAGACCTCACATACACCCGAGCCCAATTTTGGTTGCAAGTGAAAACTCTGCTCGTATAGCATCATCCATCCATATACCGGGAATATCTTTCATATATCAATATCTATATCTATCTATATACTATCTATAACAGTATGAATACATGAGGTTGGCTTCTAGACTTTTCATTAGACTAAAATATTTTATATCTAACGTTTGATATGAAATTTTGTTTTTTTATTTAATACTTATCATGAAATAGCTCTTCTTTGTTATTTAATGCTTTTTACAAAAAAACACAAAATTCTATTTTTTTTGTTCATAATTATAATACAAGTAAATCACGAAAATGTTATTTAACATTCCCATTTAATGTTTATTGATGAAAATATATAAAAATCCCTTTTTTTATTCAATAATTGTAAAATAAATCATGGTAATTGCTGAAATTTCTCTTGAAGTTTTTGACCATTGCCTAAACCTCCCCTAAAGTTTGGTAATTACAATCACCTCCTATAAATTTAGAGGTGTAAATCGGGTTATGTCACCTACGGCCCAATACAGCTCAACCCAACTTTGGAATGGCTCAGTCAATGGTTTGGCTTAGCCCATGACTTGGCCCACGAGCCCGCATGGGCTTGGCCCACGAGCCTGCACGGGCTTGGGTCATGGGCCATGCTGGCCCAAACCCCCAAACTTTGCACTAGGGAGGGTGGCACGGCCCATGACAGCCCGCGGGTCGTGTTGTGTCGGCCCATCACGGCACACTTTACACCACCTAAACTTCTTAACACGAGTCTAGATTTCCTGCACATCTTATCATAATGTGCCATGTCGGCCTCATACTATTAAATCCTTACACGTGCAAATTGATTAACGGATGCTGGGAGAACTTCAGTTTCTTTGCTTTTTATTTTTTAAATATTAAAAATATTAAAACAAAAAAAAAGAAAAAACCTTTTATCCTTCATTAATGGCTATAAGGACAATTTCTCTAAGCTCTCTTTCTACAAGAGAGAAACAAAGTAAAATTTGTTTTTAATATGCAACAAAAGGCAAACAACAAAATTTGTTGTTTATTTACATCATTGCACGTTTCCTTTCCCCATTTCCCTCTACAATAGGAGAATCAATGAGATCACCAATATTTTTCTGTGCAAAATACCTTGAAACAGGGTCTCTCCTCTGGTGGAAACAAAATCTAGCCTAAACTTTCTAAGTAACCACAACAAAGAGAGCCTCCCATCATGTGATTTAACTTTATGCTTGGTTTGGGTCTGATCGGGGCTTCTATATTTGTCCAAGGCTATCTTTCAAAGTGCTTGCAGTGCTCTAGAACGATGCAGAAGATGAGCTCCCAAACTTGTCTAAATCATTGTTGTTGTGTCTTGAGTAGACTGTAGGCATCTCCTTCTTCCCATTCCATTTTTAATGCTTTCAACCGGTGTCCTCTTTGAAAAAGCCTTCTCACAACAAAAACAAAGAACATGGGCTAAAAATTTTTATATAAATTTGGCTTCTTAAAAGAAATGGTAGTAAACCCCTTGAAGAAGAGGGTTTTCTAATTTTTTAATGTATTTTAATATTTAGAAGTAAGGAAACAATACAAAGGATGCTCTCTAACATCCGTTAACTAGTTATAGAAATTTAACTGTGTGATGTTGATATGGCACATTATGATAGGATGTATAGGAAAATGTGCAGATTGGGATGTGTAGGAGATCCGAACTCATGTAGGCCCCATTTGTAAAATCCTCTAACAAGAGCCATGAAAAGGTCCAAAATACCCATATAATTATTATTGAGGCTGATTTATATATAAAAAGCCAATATAAATGTTATGAGCAACAAAAAAGAAAGTTTAAATTTGTAATCTTACCTTTGAGCAATTCATATGAAGGGCAAATTTGGAAAACACACCAATTCTGAAAATGAGATTAGAAGGGGTTACGGTAAAGAAAAAATTTGGAAAATAAACATTTTGGTCAAAAGTAACTATATGGGTATTTTGGACATTTTTGTGCTTGTTGTTAGAAGATTCTAACAGGTCTACTTGCAACTGTGTCAAAAAGTTTATGAGAGGTGATTGCATTTACCAAACTTTAGAGGGGGTCAACAATGATAAAAAAATTTTATGGGAGGTTTTAGCAACTTACCCTTTATTTATTTAAGTTTAAAAAAAAAATTGTAAGTACAGCTTATGTTCTCAATTGCCAATGCTGGGCCACATTAATCACTATGAAGAGATTTCCAACTTGCAAATGGATGAACAATTTATTTTTTAAACTATTTTCTTATTTTTTAATATGTTTAACCTATTTTCATTGGCTTAGTTTTTGATTAATATGGTAATAAATGGTTTTCTATTCTTTATTCCCACCATATGGTGGGTTAATTTGTTATTTTTTCATTTCCATTATCTTAAAGCCTACATCATTGGATGACAAGTTATCTATAAGAGTAAGTGATATTTTTTATAGTAGTTTATTGTAAGGTTTTCAACAGTTAAAGGAGCTAAAGTAGGATTTATCATATAGAAGTTAATTCTTGCAAAGGTAACGAGAATTCAAATAAAATTCTGATGAAAGTAATTGATAAAAAATATTAATTTTGTTAGTGAACCATTACAAATAAGAATAATAAGAATTTTATTAATGATAAATAAGCATAATAAGAATTTTATTTTGACATATCTTTATATTAATAAACCATAATAAATGTGATAAATAAGAATCAATTTTATAGATGTAGAAATATAAAAAATGCAAAAAAAAAATTGGAAATATATATTATATACTATCATCATTACAAAATTTGTCACGTGTAAAGAACGTACAAAAATACTAGTTTATGTTAAATTTAAGGAAAACTCCAAATTATTCTATACTTTATGTTGTGTTTGATTACAGTGCAATTTTATTTGCACTAGTACAAATGTATGGGAGTGCAAATGAAAAAAATGCAAATTTTGGTTTAATTTTATTTTGGATTTTACTTTATTATATTTTAGGTCTTATTTTACTTCATTTTTAATGCAACCAAACAAAGCAAGGTAAAATTTGAATAAAAAATAAATCAAAACTTGCAGCCAAATCATTTACACTACCATAGTTTTGCATAAATGCAAATGAATTTGCACTACAGCCAAACATAGCCTTAGGCTCAGTTTGAAATGAGTACAAATACAAATATGTATGGTGCAAATACATATAAAATAACATAAAATACAAGCTTTTGCACTCTACATATTTGTATTTGTACTCCTTTCAAATTGAACCTTAGAGGTAATCTCACTTTAGTACCCAAACTTCAAAACGTGTCACTATAGTATTTGAACTTTTGAAAGCTGCCAATTGAGCACTTGTTGTTACATTTTGTAGAGTTTTTGCTTGCAACTAATTTCATAATTTTCCTTTTAGAGTAACCCATTATAAGAAGAAGCCCCTTTCCTTATGATAACTTTTTTTTGGTTAATCAGAGCAATAACTTTCCCCTTTACCCCCCTCTTTTTTCCCCAAAGTGCTGGTTGCGGGATTTGATAAACGATCAACCATTCCTCGATGTGATGGAGTCAAAAGTAAGGAGATGATTAATGCACAAACATTTATATTTAATAGTTTCTTTAGAAAACCCTACCTATGTGTTAGATCAACTACTAAGGAATGCCCTAAAAATGTTTAGGGTTTAAATGGAATGATTAATAAACAAACATTTATATTTAATAATTTCTTAATAAAATCCTATCTATGTGTTAGATTAACTATTAGGGGATGCGTTGGAAATGTTTAGGGTTTAAATGGAATGATGGGTTATGGCCTATCTGTGAGGTTCAAAGTATTTGAAACATAAAGAGTGTAAGAAAGACAACTTTAAAAGACATATGAGGATACACTTTCGATATGTATGGATATAATGGAAAAATTAATGTTACTAAAAATAAGTTATTTACACATAAAAAATAATTACTTTAATACTTTATATAAGTGCAAATGTTAACCATTGGGACGCAATTATGAATACCAAAACAATGAAAGGACTAAAATATGTGTGTGTATATATATCTTAAAAAATTAAAGTAATTTATGTTAATATTTATAAATATATAAATTTTAATAATCAATTTTTAACATTTATTGAGAAGCATCTGGTGAGAAGAGAAAATTCAAAGTTAAGATTCAAGATCCATCTAACTATAATAAGGGCTAACTATTTATACATACCTTCAACTTTTAAAAACGCTTAAACATGATTTTAAAAAACAATCCGAAAACAAAATTGTTTTAACCACCGGTTTCCAGATCAATGATTTGACCATCAAGTTCGAACGGACTGGTTGCCTGGATGGTTCTCGGGCCAAACCGTCTAACCATCCATGTCAACAGCAATTCGAAAACCATGCATTTAAAATGATGAACAAATCCTTTCCTTTCTTCATCCCTTCTCTCTCTCTTCCCATCAACTAATGAGAGCTAGCTAAATTGAGATCAAGCTCACACAAGTCACGATCGCATTGCTATTTCTTGCTTTCAACTTGGAGTACAACTAAACCACAAGAAGCGGCTCCACATTCTTTTGGTATTGAATCATCGCCTTGTGCTCACAGAGGTCGCAATTCACTTTTTTTTTTCTTGACATAATACATTACTTTTTCAGCAACAATCTGATTACTCTTCTAAAAGGTATAATAAGAACTGATAGCAGAGCTAGAAATCACATATCTTTTATGGTTACCAATTTACATACCATCCGAGCACAC